TGAAGAAAAAAATATATACTGAAATAAAGTTAATAAAAAAATCATTAAAAATGGAATTGTTAAAAAATCAAAAAATATTTAAATTTTTTAAAAATTTAGTAGATTAAATACATTAAATAATACATTAAATTTAATCTATAAAGTAAAAATACATTTAAACCTAAAATTAAAATTTAAAAATTTGAAATATATACATGTTTGTATATATATATATATATATATATATATATATATATATATATATATATATATATATATATATATATATATATATATATATATATATATTGTAAAGTTAGGATTTGGTTTAATTTTACTAATTAAATAGTTGATAGTTATTTATTAGTTGTTTATGCATAATCGCTTTATTATTATTTTTTTAAATATAATTATTTTTTAAAGCTGTTATTAATTTTAGACTAAAATAAAATTTTACTAAATAGCAATAAAATTAAGTGATAAAACTGTTTATAAACAATCAAAAAACAGTTTTATATGTAACAATTATAAAGTTTATTACATTTTTACAAAGTACAATGTAACTATTTAAAGTTTTTGTACTTCATATACATAGTAAATTTTAACTAAACTCCTATTTGAGTTTTAAAACTCAAGTCTCATTGCTGTTTAGTAAAATCTGGAAATTCATTTAATTTTTTTCAAGTTATTGTTGTTGAAATCATGTAGATTTATTATATTAGTAACATAATCAACAGACAAAAATTAAGTGTTTTAAAATTCATTGTTTAGTGATATGTAAGTTGTAATATTATTACAACTTACATATCATTAAATCATGAATCAAAATATCTATTTTAAAACATTCAATTATTGTCTGATGATTATGACAGCTATTTTAACCATTTCACTTCACATAATTCTTACATTTGAGTTTATATTGTAAAAGGCTTGTTTATATCTCATAAAATTAGTTGTTTTATCAGATCTTATATATTTTAAAAATATATCTCCCTAAAACAATAAAATATACTACCAGATTAGTATTTTGGTGTTGAAATTTTTTTTCCTGAGATCTCTGTTTCAATATATATGAATATATATATATATATATATATATATATATATATATATATATATATATATATATATATATATATATATATATATATATATATATATATAAATATGTGTGTGTGTGCATGTGTTTGTGTGTGTGCATGTGTTTGTGTGCATTACATTAAATAAAACTTTACAATTTGAAAAGTTTTGTTCTTGCGTGCTGGATGTTTGGTTTATATGACTAATATTATAAATGTTTATATAATGTACAATGACTGGTAATCATGACAATGACTGGTAGTCATTGTACTGGTAGTGGTACAATGACTACCAAATAGTATATATAGCCTAATAGACTAATAACTTATAAAACACATATATAACTATATTGTAATTGTATTATTGTTTCTGTTAAGTATATATATATATATATATATATATATATATATATATATATATATATATATATATATATATATATATATATATATATATACATATATATATATATATACATATATATATATATATATATATATATATATATATATATATATATATATATATATATATATATATATATATATATATATATATTAGGGCTGTACCGGATTTAATTTTTTCAAATCCGGCCGAAGCCGGATTTGCCGGATTTCTACTGACAGATCTGGCCGGAATCAGAGCCGGAGCCGGATTTCAAAACAAAACTACAGGAGCCAAAATCCTGTACATCCCTACTTGGTGTTGAGCATGGTCAACAATGTGGACTATTCAGAATGCCAAGTGACTGCTGTTTTCTGTTAAACTTCATTGTTGTTATTTAAAAACTTTTAAAGCAATTTCTATATATAAATTAATAGAAATTCTAAAGAAATTCTATAGGCCTTATGTTTTTAAAGTTTATAGTAATTCTATTAAACTTTTTTTCCGGGATTTTGTCACTCCGCCACTGTAGTGGATCATTGTGTCTATTTATTTCTGGTTCTTTCGGATATTTCCTTTGCTGAGTTTCAATGCCGTTTAGTAATTGTTGTTTATGTGCCCTGCCAGCAGCGGACGTAGACTGAATAAATTTATCAATAAATTGCCAGAGTAATGATAATGATGATGTAGAAAAATTATTAAGCCCGGTCTATTTTGGTGGATTTTCTTCATTTTTGTCAATCTTCTGTTCAGTATGCTCAAATTGACTTCAATCTTGTTTTTTCAGCTGTCAGCGTTGCCTGTAATGAGGAGAATTTAGTTTTAAATCCAATCACTTGATTAGGGTTGACATCATAGTCTTTATACCTGCATCATTGTAAAATATTGTGTGTCTTCCCTTCAGAATTTTTTGTTGCGTTGTTGTTTGAAATTAGACTAAGCTTATTAAATAAGAAAAATAAATACAAATACCAAAACAAATATGAGGTTTATAAAATATAGAATTACAAAAAAAATTGGTTTTTATAAATAAAATATTAGGTATACATGTAAACACGGGCAAAAAAAATGTAATAAATATTTGACAAAATTCAAAACTCCGGCTAAAATTATGCCGGATTTGCTAAATTTTTGCCGGAGCCGGATTTGGGCCGGATTTGTAAAAATGGCCGGATTTCAGCCGGAGCAGTAGCCGGAGCCGAAATCCGGTATAGCCCTAATATATATATATATATATATATATATATATATATATATATATATATATATATATATATATATATATATATATATATATATATATATATATATATATATATATATATATATATATATATATATATATAAAGAAAATCATTTATCGATTGTTTTTAATTTTAAACAGTGTTTAAAATCATCTGAAAATCATGAATTGATTGATGATTCAAAAATTTTGAAAAAAGTTCAAAAAAAAAAAATTGATGATTAAAAAATTCAAAAAAATGATTGATGAGCAAAGATTCTGCCATATGATTCCAGATTATTCCTGGCTTCACATATTTTGAATTGAAGTGATTGATGAAGATTTATTGTGCTTTTTGATTGTAATATACTGTTAATATTTGGAATTTTTTTGTTTTGTTTTGAACTTTTGTGAAATAATAAATTTACAATTGTATTAGCTTTTTGTTTTCTCATTAATAGGATAACATTTAAAAGCAAAATCATAGTTACCGTTATATCATAGTTACCGTTATATTCATTGATGCAAGTTACTATTATTTTAAGTAGTCCATCATATATTCAGGGGCCGAATTAAGGGTTTAATGTCTTTAATCATTTAAAATTCTATTTTTGGATATGGGTTCTTGGCAGTAGCGTAGCGAAGGGCCCGCAGCCGCGGGGAGGCCCAGAGTTATTAGGAGCCCAAGGCAACAAAGAAAAAATTAAAAAAAAAATGTCAGTACAATAAATAACATCTGTATCATTTAACATACATACAAAACATATATTTTACACAGGAAGGTAAAGGCAATGTGGGGGAGGGGGGGGGGAAGGGAATAGAAAAGAAGTAATTTAGGGGCCCGGATTAAATTTTTGCGGGGGAGGGGGGTCAATTTTTTGTCGCTACGCTACTGGTTCTTGGTTCTTTTTTTAACATTTTCCTTCTTTAATTTATTTTAATTTTTTAAATTTAATTTAATATTATCTTATTTAATAAAAATTTTATTTTTGCAAATAAAATTTTTTATGGACTATGTGGAGTGCTTTTTTATGAACTTTATTAATGAGTCAATCATTGTACTTTTGGCAAAACATCCTAATCAAAGCACAGTATTGAAACTTAGAGGTTAATTTATGTGTTAAATAATAAAATAGCTTGTTTATAAGATTTCATAAGATTTGCAAACGGTCACTTTTAGCAGCCTAACTTAATTCGAAGCAAAAACGTTGTTTTTACCAACCATTAAAAATCGGTAGATTTAACTGTTAATTTTTAACTGATAATGGTTTTAACTTTTATGAGTAGTTAAAGTATTTTGGGATTTACGATCATATTATGCTCGGACGATAAACAGTGTCTACTCTTGTAAATGTTTACATTAGGAGTCTTTATAAACCTGTCCAAGGCTTTTGACACTGTTGATCACGACATCTCGTTAAATAAACTAGTAACTTATGGTATAATAGATAAAACACTAAACTGGTTCAAAATCTATTTAACTAATCACAACCAATATGTTTACAATGAAAACTCTGATTCTCAGATTTTAATGAATACTACATATGGTGTTCCGCAAGGATCCAAACTTGGACCACTTCTCTTTTTAATATATATTAATGATCTTAACAAAACCTCAAACTTAACTTCAATAATTTTTGCTGATGACACAAACTTGTTTTTATCTTATGAAAATGACAGATCATGACAGATCGTGATACGATCTATATGATTTTTTAGAAGTCCCTCTATTAATCTTTTATACATATTTTATTGTAAAGAATTACTATGGTAATTTAAAAAAAAAAAAACTAAGCATAGAACGAGGGCTGGTGTAGTATAAGTTTTTTACACCCACGTATTTTTTACTCCCCGGTAAAAATCGCATATAAAATTTGTACTCTCCAGTATAATTCTCAAATGAAATTTTTACTCCCATTTGGTGCCATCCATAAAGGACGTCACCATTTTTTAGCCAATTTTTGACCATCTACCCCCTTCATTTGTCACCGGTTGTCCTTTTTCCCTATACCCCTCTGAAAAAGGACGTCATAAAATCCTGACCCCCTCCCTATTTATAACTTCAAAAAAATTTATTTCATCTTGCAATGATGTTTGAATCTGCTGCTACACCTTTGAAAAATAAAATTAAAAATATTCTCATACATTATCTTCTAAAAAACACATGTTTACGTAGTTTTCTATGTTAATAAAACTAAAATAAAAAACCTATAAAGTGACGTCCTTTTCTGACAACCTCCCCCTCCCCTTGCCTTTTTTAGCTTGATCCCCTCCCCTCCCCCTCCCCCCTCCATCCCTTATTTGGATGACTTTTTTTATGGATGGCTCCTTTTGAGATTTATACTCCAATAGAATATTTTGCGGCAAAATGAATTTTTGCAACCAAACGACGTCGTATTTTGTGAATATTTTAAAACGTTTTAATGACTGCGGTTTAAAAAATTTTTGAAATTTTTCGAATCTAGTATGGCAGTGGCATATATATTGTTAAAACTATTAAATGAGGATAATGTTTAAAACTGAACTAATTATCAAAGACGTCGAATAAAGCACAAACACAACAGTAATCAACATAAAAGAAATGTAAATGCAAGAATAGCAAAATATGCAACTTTTGATATAATAAAATTAGTTGCAGAAAAATTTAGAATTGTTAGGAAACACAATGTCGCCATTGGAAGTTAATTTGCCGACTTAATGAACCCTCCTTTTCCATCGTGCCGGCCTTGTATAAAACCAATAATATCTCCTTTGTGTAAGTATTCATGCCATTTCAGTAAAATAAAAAGCGCATGCTGAGTGTTAAATATCTAAGAAAGACACATAACAAATTGTTCAAATTAGACTCAATTAATGCCCTTAATTTATCATTTGATAAGATGTTCTAGAAGTTTTAAACAATTATGTATATAGTCGTGCTGATACCACGGTATATATTATGTAAAAAGAAGTTTGTTAACTGCGATCTCTGTTTTCATAGTTAAGAGTCTGTAACTTGCTTACAAAACTTTTTGGTGTCACATTCACTACAAATCCAGCACTTATCTGTAATAACTTTACCCGGAGAAATACATTTCCTCATAAGAAATAAAAATTTACTCAAAAAGTTTTAAATTAAGTTTTAATTTTCCTATGCAAACAAATATATATATATATATATATATATATATATATATATATATATATATATATATATATATATATATATATATATATATATATATATATATATATATATATATGTAACCCTCAGAATTAGAGTCGGCATTCGGCAATGCTGACCTAACTGTTTACCTGAAAGTGATTGATGTCGGCAAAAAATTGCTGATCTTGTTTCTATGTTTGGTGGTCAGACCTTAGAATCAAATAATTTTTGCCGACCTGATGCCGACCTCAAAAAGATTGAGGTGAGCAATAATTTGCCGACCTTATTTTTCCTAATTCCGAGGCTTGTATATGCATATTTATATATACACACACACATACACAAACACATATATGTGTGTGAGTGTGTGTGTATACACTCACATATAGAGAGAAATCGAATGAGACAAATACATTTCTTTGTTTGTATAATTTACATTTTTATCATGTTATGAAAATACTTTGCATAAATCCAAGAAAGTAACTGTTATAAAAGCATAAATTAGAATAATTGGATGATTCTTGTACAACAATATATGCTGCCATTTTACTTTTCTGGTTTATGCATTCAAACTTACCAGTGGTACCAAGTCAAACAATCTTCACACTCAATCATGTCTTCAAATTGTGGTTTGTTACAACTCAAACAACTCCAACTTTGTTTAAGATGTAGCACTATAAAAACAAATCATAGCAATGGTTTAATTATGTAAATGTAAAGGATTATTAATTAATTACGTAATTAGTAAATGGTTTAATTATTTGCTAACTTTATTAAAAGAAAATTTTTTTCAAGTAATTAAACAATAAATTCAAATGGTTACCATTTTTCTGAAGTTTTTAAAATGTGTCTGGATTAACTAAGTCTTTTACGACATTGATGTCATGTTTGATAACTTCAGCATGAAGAAGTTTTCCATCAGTCTGCAGGTCTTTGTCTGTTAAAATATGAGCTACAATTGGGTTGGAATAGCCAAAATATGCTAAAACTTTTCTTTGCTCTAAATTATTAAAACGCTAAATAAGCAACACAAACTAGCAAACAAGTAATAAACCAAACACACACACACAGATATATATATATATATATATATATATATATATATATATATATATATATATATATATATACACATATATGTTTATATATATATATATATATGTTTATATATACATATATATATATATATATATATATATATATATATATATATATATATATATATATATATATATATATATATTTTATATACATATATATATACATATATACACACCTCAGTATTATGGTCGCCATTTGGCAATGCCAACCTAACTGAAGGTAGCCTTCCATTATATATATAATGGAAGGCTACCTTTAGGCAACATGATAAATATCGGATGAAGTGCTAAGTCCTATGGCTTACCTTCTCGTTGGTGCACTTCGTTAAGTAAGTTAGATATATTAAATGTCTAATTTATGAACAAAAAAGCCAAGGCATTATTTTAAATGAGTTTTTTTTACATAACTTAATGAAATAAATAAATAATAATTATTCTTATTATAAAAAGTACTTTATTATAACAATGTTATTATATTATAATATTTATTAAATTAAGTGTTCTTATTAAAATAAATATTCTATTCTTAATCTTTTGCTCTTTAGCTGGAAAAATTGCATTTACCCTTTTAATACTTTTTTTTACAAAATCTTTTTTGATAACATTCACTTATGATGATAAATCTTTCCCTTTTTTTAAAGGTATTTGCAAGTTTATCTCAGAATAAAATTCCGCTGACAAAGCATACCATTAGTGATTACACTCGGAGAGATGCTTACGAGTCTCGTAAACAATTTACAAAAGTTATCGAAGAATACTCAATCAAAACAAATCAGTTTTTAATTGATGAAAGCATTGATGTTTTTTCTTTGAACAGTATTCCTCCAAAAAATCAATTAATCAAATGGTCTAATGAACTATTACTACGCAAAAAAATTGCATTAGGCTTCCATTTTGTAGAATGTAAGTTAGGAATTTTTACCTATGAAAGTATACAACATATGATTACCCTTAATAGAATTCAAGAAATCAAATTAGCCGTTGAACAAGAAATAATATGGTTAAATTCTTCAAAGTTGTTACCAAAATCTATTAATACATATCCTCCCGAATATTTAATTGATAAATTTAAAGATGCACTATTCGGTAAACCAGCAAACAGAGAAATTTCAGATTATGGTATGACACCAAATACGTTAGCTGAACTCTGTTGTTCTAGATGGCTATCATCTGATCATATGTTTCTAATTTGCAGCATTTTAAACTCTTTTCAAAATGATTCCTTAGTAATTTACTTTAATTTTGTTGGAAATATTGAACATTTTATTTCACGCATAACTACTGTTTCTGAAAAATTAATCTTTATTGTTAATATTGGCAAAAACAATGAGAAAACCTTTACTGGCACAAGTATCAATCCAGGTTGTCATTGGTCATTTGCAGCCTATAATAATACAGAGTGTAATTTTTACTACGGAGATTCATTAGGTTGGATAGCTCCAGAAGATTTTTTGTTAAAAGTGGATCTATTAATTAAAAAGTTATATCACAATAATAAAACTTTTAATATGATATATTGCCATGATCCAATTATATTACTCATAAGTATGGAGGTAAGCTGTGCAGTTCTTTGTGCAAAAGAAACTATCCTTTACAAACATGTGGAGATATATGTGGAGTCATAACAGTAGTATTATGTGCAATTGCTTGTTTTAGATATAATTACTTCAAGCATATTATATGTAATGATGATCAACTGAATAACAACTACATATTTCTTAAGGAGCCAACAAAATATTCAAAGTATTTACGCTTGGTTTTGATGGCATGGTTTATTTGCAAAGAAGTAGTTATAGAATATGTTGTCCCAAAATCAATTTCTCTTTGTTTATCGGATTCAGATTATGATGAAAATTTTATTTGCACAAATCTTGCAGAATCTAAGTGTGAAAAAAAAAGTTCAGGGAGTAATAAAGAAAAAAATATTAATTCTTTTGAATGTTGTTTTTGCAAATCTTTCTTTACCAAAAAATGCAATTTGCAGCGTCATATCAAAAACATCCACAAGTCAAGTGAAGATGCTCAAGCAAGTATTAGAACAGGAAATAGTTTTTGTTTAGATTGCGGGTTTCAAAGCCGGAGAATTACTGATTTAAGAAAACATTTATCTTTATCTCATTGTTTTACATTCCAAAAAGAATTACTATCATTTTCTAATTTAATAGGTAAGTAGTTTCTTTTTTATAACTATAACAATAACAATCATATTAAAAAAAAAAAATTTTAAACGTTCATATATTTTAACATAAATATGATTTGTTTTTGTTTCACTACTTTCAAAATTTATATCAGCAAAGTTTTGCAAATATATAATTTCCATATGCAGCTAGACTTGCAGATATTTTTTGCTTGATCTCTATATATAATTGTAAAAAAAATAATTCAACATGAAAAATTTGATTAGATTTTGAAAAATGGAAGTCTGATATTGAACTTAGTTGTTTAAGTCAATATATTGTAACCTCTGGCGGAAAGGTCTGTAAAGATGGTAAGATAATTACATACTACCAATGTAACCGAAGTGGTTTATATAATTGTTTGTCATCAGGCAAAAGAAGGATACAAAGTAGCGGTATTTTTTTTTTTCCTTTTTTGACAATCTAATGTGTATGTGTAGTTGTTATTGTGTGATGTCTAATAGTTTCACTTGTAAGGCTTTTCTCAAAATATGAAAATTACTAGTTAGTTTAATGAAAGTCAAAGTCACTCTATCAATTTGACATAAGTCAAAGTGAAAGATTGCTAATATCATTTTTCAAATATATTAATAAAATTATGTTTGTTTGGCGAGTTACTTATGAATGGTATTGTTTAATTGGTATTAGGAACTCGAAAAATAGACAAGAATTGCACATCGACACTAAAAGTGACATGCTCCAATACACAAGTTGTGGTTAATGCTTGTTATTCTCATTACGGCCATCAAACCGAGATTCAACATCTTTCTTTAACAAAATGTCAAAAGAGAGAAATCGCAGCAAGATTTAGTCAACCTTGAAAAGGCATTTAACATCAATTCAGTTCAACGCCATCCAAACGACCAAGATAGTGTTGCAGCTTGGTTAAAAGAGTGGCAAATGAAGGAAAACA